CGTATTCAGAGCGATGACACCTTTTAGTCAAACAACATAGAGCCTTTTCTACTCAAGTTTTACATGAAAGGCTGGACTTCTGCTGAAATTCCTCAACTAGACGAGTTGTCCGATCAAATAAACTGTCATTACTCCCGATCTGGGAATCTCTCGATCTTCTTTAGTAGGCCATAGTGTCATGAGATCGAGGGGTGTGGCTCTTCGTCCACCAACCATTGCTTCGGCGGGTGTTTTTCTCGTGGAAGATGAGACCGTCGTGTGCTGCCGGAACAAGAACCTGGCGATTCGTCACTGAACTGCTTCTTCCGTAAGCATCAAGAGGGCTTTCTTCGTTTCCCACACCATCTGTTCTGCTTGCCCGCTAGTTGCAGGATGGTATGGTGCATTAATGTTGTGCCTGATGCCGTTTTTATTTTTCTAAAAAACTTGTATATTTTATTTGAAAGAAGCTTCGGCGCGTTATCGGAGAAAAGATTTTTCTGTAGGCCAATAGTAGCGAAAAGAGAGCGTAGAATGTCAATGACGCTTTTGGACGTCGTGGCATGCATCGTGTAAACTTCCAATCACCTACAGTACGCATCGACCATGGCTCCGCAGATGCGGATACGTTTCGCCACCCACCGACTGAATAGTGGATCGTTTTCAGTTACTGTTCATGATGGCGCTGGACTCAGAAAGAAGACTTCGAGCCTTTCCGCAAAGTTAGCCCAGGTGCCAACACTTCTGTCGAAAGCGGTAAGTGCTCCAAACGTCGACAACGTCGGTAGCGACGTGCTGTGCTTGACACTTGACGCTTACCATTCGTTGAGAAGAAACTGGCTTGTTCGTCTGCCACGAGTCGTCCGATATCAGGTCATCACCGCAACTCCATTTCTCGACAAAACAGGTCTTCATTGTCCGCGTGTCCATAGTTAGCAATCATGTGAACTTATAAATTCCCGAACGCTCATCACTTGCCTTCGCTAAACGCCGCTCAAGCATAGCGTCTTCATTGCAAATAAACGTATTCCTATTTATATTGATGCTTTTCATCATATTCCACCTAAGTTGTACTCACAACATAATGTGTGTCAGTACTTTTGAAAATATTGCAACGGCCGTTTGTTTTCTCGAAACCCCCCTCACCCCCCCATATAACGTAACAACCTTTACTACATCTTCCGGATCCCGTGAAACACAATATTTCGTGACGTCACTTTTCAGCCGTCATTATAATGGCGAGGTAAATACCGTAAATCGCGGAGCAGTTTACTAGACGTCCGGTTCCACTGGTGTCTTGGAAGATCGAGTCTACTGAGTGCGCATTCCTGGCGAAGAATTTTTCATTGAGAGAATATTGACGCGTCAATTAACAATTGATTCCTTCCTTCTTGGTAAGATTTATTGCGAAAGCCCGTGGCAACCGCCGAATTGCATGTCCCTATATCAGCCTGACATTCTCGCATACATGAGTTTGCTGGGCCACTGAGCACAGCTGGCAGCGGTGCGAGCAAGGGCACGATGGGAACGTGATGGTGCCATCCCACCGTGAACCAATATTTCGGCCACCACATGGGTGCGTGTCGCCATCTATTGGTTGAACTAACGCCTTGTTCAAGATGGCTGCCGTGGGACCGCAGCCTTAAAGGGTAACTGCAAAGAAAAAAAAAGTGTATTTTTAAACAGCCTAATTGGAACAAGCATGTCACAATATAAATTTTCCGCCAAAAACAAATTTTTTTACAGCAATATTTATTGCGCGAGACTTATTTTAGTCTACAGCTATTTCGTCCGTTTTAAATCGCGCGCCACAAAGTTGGTATTATACGTCACGATTGATTGAAAACACGTTTGTTGACCTTATATTGCGTGGAGCGCGCTGCGGAGGTCACGTAGTGGCTGCAATACGTCACGAAGTGACGTCTAACAGCCACTCCGCGCGCGTCGAAAGAGCGGGAGTTTCAAGTGTGGAGAAGTTGTGACTCCGACTAAATTACGTCCTGCGGCGTAAATATTGCTAGAAAAAATTTGTTTTTTCGCGGAAGATTTGTTTTATGACATTCTTGTCCGATACAGGCGGTTTAAAAAACACCTTTTTTTTTCAGTTACACTTTAAGGAATAGAATTCGCTAGTTGTCAAGCTATACATGGATGCCTGGTGCTTGAGCACGCCTCCCACTCTATCGCACGAGCTTTTCCCGTGCCCTGATGCGGAGAATATCCACCTGGAGACGACATTCTTTTTCTTGAATTCGTACACATGGTGCCTGTTTGTGAAGGGGCTTGAAAGCACCGTCTGAAATATAAACGAGTTGCGTGGAAATAGGCCATACATCTTTTAGCCGCCCATCGACAACGTTGAGCGTAAAAAGCGCGTGGGACGAGTCGTGGATGATGTCGTCGCTCACTACGCCGAAGATTAACGTTCACTGTTTGGTCGTTGTCACGCAGGTAAAGATGGAAACCATCTTGGTCTTCCAGTGATGTCCTTACACCGCGCGCTGGATCACGTCACTCCAGCTTTCCTTAAAATCGAAGTGCAAGGTGACAGCACGTAACTTCACATTCGCTTTTTCGAGCCATATGGCTCTTCGCTGGGCGCGTCTGATGAAAAAGTGGAGGATGTATATTTTTGTCCACTTCTGAAACTTGTTAAAAAATGCCGTGGCATCCAAATGTTTCTTTTTTTGTTTTGTTTTAGAGCGCAGCTCTTAAGGTCTATTCCCACGATGCAGCTTGTTGGCGAATCTTGTGTCGCGAAACTAGTTTTCGGGAAACAGATAGACCCTTTCCGAAATTCAGTCCGGTCACTTTGATCACTATCATCATCCGTTGAACGGCATCTGTGCCATACCAATGGCGGCCTTCTAGTGACTGATAAAGGAAGACGTTAAAGATAATCTTGAGCGGATGATGCGAGGCCTATACATTCGGGGGGTCAGTACGACGCAACGTAGGAATGGAACACAAGAGCTGCGTAAGCGTTTATTTCTAATAACTCAGATTCAGTCAATCTGTGGGCGGCACACAATCGACTTTAAAACAATTTGGTGTATAGAATTTTCTCGAGGCATCTGAGTGGGTGGAGCTTCGTTCTGAATGCAGGTTCTTGGTCACCATCGAACTGAAAGTGATCGAGAAAGAACTCACACTAAACAATTCCTCGCGTGCCGTTGACTTGCTAAAGTGACAGTGCCGATACAAGTTCATATCCGCCATCGATATGGCAAAAGCTAAACTGCTTTACGAAGCACCAGATGGCACTGAATTTCGGAAAGGGTCTATTCCCCGTCTGAACGCGACCAAAAAAGTGGCGCGCCTCCGAAAAAAAGTGGCGCGTGTTCCTCGCTTCTGGAGCAATTTTTTGCCGTAACTTCACCCGACGCCTGTCAATCACCCGAAGGAGAAACGCGGACGCTGCCAATGGCCGCTCGACTCGGCTGTGACGTCTGACCTTCGAGGTGGAGCAAGCTTTTGGAAGAGTCTGATTTTTGGCCGATTCCATATCCGAGCCAAATCAGAAAAAAAGAAAAGCAAACATGGCCAGCGACAAGCAGAGAAGCGGGGCGTGCGGGTCCTACTCGCTGGAACTGTGTGAACGGCGCTTTAGCAGTACGGGTTGATGGCGCGGTGCAGGCTGATCAGCAGCCGCGACGAGTGCAAGCACCGGATATAAACATGATGTCTGGGGATAACTTTCTTTATTAGCGGTGCAAAAATGTCCGAAATGCTTCGAGAACATCCGCTTGTTCTTTGACGTTCGCGGTCTTTCCCGGGTTCGGCAGGACTAGTAAACCCAGTGAGCCGAATCTGACGAAGTTTATTGAGTGGTATTAACAAAACAAACTGTCTCTTCACACTGTTTTCGCTAAACTGTGGCGCGTTGAAAAGATGCATCGTGTGAATAAGCCTTTAGGCGCCCGTTTCCGGCTCGAGTGGCGTCGCCGTCGGCGTAAACGCGCAATAACGATGACGCCACACGTGACGTCACTGGTGACGTCACTGTTGACGTCATCAGTGACGATGACGCTAAATTCCCCGCTAAACTGAGCGGAAAAAATTTCCCCGCTAAATCTAGCGGAAAAAATTTCCCCGCTAAATCTAGCGGAAAAAATTTATCCACTAAGTTTAGCGGAAAACATTACTCCGCTAAATGTAGCGGAAAAAATTTCCCCGCAAGATTTAGCGGAAACAATTTCCCCGCTAAATCAGGTGGAAAAAATTCCCCGCAAAAGTTAGGGGAAAAAAGTGCCCTGCTAAATTTTCGCCAAATTTACATGCGATGCTCTCATCAAAGATGTGCATTTTCTGCGACTTGCGTTAAGCACGCGTCAGTCAGTCAGTACAACTTTATTGTTCCCGAAAAAGGGATTAGGAAGGGGTAGGGGGCCTACTAAAAGTCCCTCCCAGACGCCCCCCCCCCCCCCCCCCCCCCCCCAGACGACAGCCAGGATCCCCTGGACCCTGGCGGCGTCTTCGGCCAGTCGGACTAAGTCTTCTTGGACCCGAGGGTCCAAGCTGAGCAGAGGGGTCTCCCAACTCTCTTCATCTCTGAGCTGCGTCAGTAATTTAATCGCGCACGCGCCCTTGTCTATCTTACTACACTCCCACACCATGTGCCTCAAGTTCGCCCTGTGCCAACATAGTTTGCACGTGCCTGGGTATCTGTCCAGGTACCACCGATTTAGTAATGCCGGACACGGATAGGTGTTCGTTGGCAGACGTACGTCTCTTCACCGTGGACTGCCTCTTGTTCAGCGAGGGGTACGCGGGGGGAAACCTCGTCCTCCCGTTCGTGTAGCGGTCGAGAATATCTCTAAAGGACACCAGCCTGTCTCTCCCGGACGACGCGACAGGGCACCAGACGTTGTGCCGGCTCGGACTGTAAGTCCTCGGGCCGCGTCGTGAGCCTGCTCGTTGCCAGGAAGCGGCGCGTGTGCCGGTGTCCACACGAGTCTCAGTCCTTCTCTCTCACCCAAGCTCGTCGTACCCCTGAGGACGCGCGGAGTTTTCGGCGATACTCTTCCTTTGGCGAAGTTGCGAACCGCGCTTTGCGAGTCGCACACGATTGTCTTGACGCCGGGTGTCCTTAGCGCGAGCGCCACCGCCACCTCCTCCGCCGTCTCCGGGTCGTCGGTCTTCACGCTGCAGCTCGCGACGAGGTGTCCTTCACCGTTCACCACCGCCGCTGCCATGGCTCCTTTTCCCTTGTACTCGGCCGCGTCGACATACGCGACTCCCTCCTCTTTTTTTAGCGTTCTTCCCAAGGCTTTGGCCCTCATCTCCGTTCTCTTGGCGTTTGCACGGGATGCGTGGGCTTTGGGATGAGGGAAATTTGCAGCATCTCCCTAATGTGTAGGGGAACGTCCTTTTCTCGCCTCTCTGTGTCTTGTACCGGAGGCCGAGGCTCTTGAGGATGTGCCTGCCAGTCGCGCCCCTCGTGAGCCGTTCCAGCTGGGCCGTTCTTTGAGCCTCGATGAGCTTCATCGGTGGTATTGTGTACCCCTAGGGCCGCCAGCTTCTCGTTTGGCGTCGAGTCCGGCAGCCCTGGGACTCGCTTGTATGCTTTCCGCACTATACATTCCAGCTTGGACTTTTCGGCCGCTCCGAGCCTCATGAAGGGAACCACGTACGCCAGCCGGCTTATCACGAAAGCTTAAGCCCGACACGTCGATCCACACCCATTTTAGCAGTGGGGGTCTTTCCACCTTCTCCCCTCAGTACCCTTCCCTCCTTTTCTTCGAGAGCTGCGCTCTAATTCGGCGTTACAGGGGATTGTAAACGTCTTTCATTTCGTATTTTTTTATAAACCTGCCACCGCACTCGCACAATGCAAGCTCAAGTACGTCTTCCTGTTCGAGTCCTAGCTTAGCCAGCGATGCATTATTCCTTTTCAAACAGACTTCACATTTTAGCAAGAAGCCATCTTGCGAAGAAGTCGTTTTTCAAAAAAACGTAAACAAAAATATTTTTGAAATCGTAAAGGCGCACAGGGCAGATCTGGGGGACTTCATATGAAAACACCCCTCATGACCCATCGCACAGTCATCCCTCATCCCCCATAATCACGCAAGAACGAGGCTGCCAGATCCGAGGATCACCGCGGCGCGGATAATCTTTCTATTCGTAGTTCTTGGTTTCCAATAAACGTTTTCTACCTACCTACCTATGCCGGTAAGGTTGCTGTATTTTAGTCAAATGAGCACATATTTCACACGATTGCGGCTCAAATAGAGGACATACAAGCAAATATTACATCTCTAGAATGTTTTTTGTTTTTTTTTGTAGTCGGCTATTATATCTGAAGTAACCCGTCGGTGTTCTCTGTCTCGAGCACCCTTGCACGCGGCTTTCTTCTTTCTCTACCAGCCCAGTTGGCTTGCCCGCTACAGAAGCTCCCCTCCCCCCAGCAAGAAGGTCCAGCTTAGGATCTGCTTGCGAGTAGGCTCAGATACCATCTAACAGACGGTCGTCGGTTGCCAAGGGGTTTTGTGGCATGCCATGAAGGTTGTAAGTCTCGTTCCGCTTTTGATTGGTTGGCAATACGGGCGTAAAGTACTCGGGAGCTTAGGGCGAATTCCACTGGTTGTTTTGGAGCGCGCCGGGATCGACTTTTCTGGAGCAAGCCTATTTCACTGGGCGACGACGTGTTTCACTGGTCGTTTTGGATTAGCTCCCGCTCCAGATCTTGATCTAAATCCGAGAAAAGTCGCTCCCACGATTTCGGCGGATTCAACCGGAAGCCAGCCGGGCCAGCCCTCGGCGCACACACGTGACCTCCTTTCTTGTGGGGCATCTCGCCTGATCTCGCCCATCTTGCCTCAGAAGAAGAAGAAGCACGTCGCGGGCTGGGCTCCTAGATTGTCTCGACATCAGAAGAATGCGTAATGGCCGCTTGCTTACCCCTTGGCTCGACAGCCGGTTCGTTTTCCAGAACGGAGAAGAGAAGGTATTTGGCGCGCTACGGGCATTCCGGCAATCTTTGCTAGAAGCGCCTGAGCCATTCCTGCCGCCCATGCGTCGAACACGTGTTAGCGCCGCGATTGCGAAAACGTCTTCGAAACGACCGCGGCGGCCGCGGAAAGGGGATTCCCGGGCAGTTGAATGACGGGAAGGCATCCGCCGATCCCGGAGCAGTGGTCATGTTCCACCTGGGATCCGTAGGCGCCGCGATCCCGTTCGGATCGTGTGCTCCAGTCCGGATCTAACCAACTGATCCCGGCGCGCTCCAAAACGCCCAGTGGAATTAGCCATTAGAGTGTTCGCATAAAATGTAGTGTGCGGGCAGTCAGTGTTCAAATAAGGGTAGTAGAGTCGTTTGTCTAAGTGTTGAAAACAGTTTGATATAGTCAGGTGCGTACACTGGTTGGTGTCTATGAATGCAGGTTTCAGCCTATCTACTGACACGGTTTTGTTGCGGCCATTGATGTCAAGGTAGAAATACTTGTCGTGACGGTCAATACGGTCAATGACGCGGAAAGGACCATCGCACGGAGACTCTTATTGTTTTCGAACTACGTCGCGACGAACAAATACGTGGGTGGAGGTGATGAGGTCGTCAGGAACGTACGATTGTTTAGTCCGTTGCACCCGCGGGGCTACCGGCTGAAGGGTACGCTTGGCGGCTCGAAGTTGGGTCACATAATCGGTAGGATCACCTTCCGGATATTTGTGGCTACAGCTGAAAAAGTCTCCTGGAAGGCGAAGCTGTTCTCCATAGACAAGTTCAGCCGGGGTGCAGTTGATGTACGTTTTATGTGTCGCACGGAGGCCGAGAAGCGCCATGGGAAGTAGTGTGCTCCAGTGGACGCGATCCTCCAGAGTTTTCAGTGAAGCCTTGACGGTTTGGTGAAAGCGTTCGACAATGCAGCTGCTGATGGGGTGGTATGCAGTCGTTTAAATTCGTGTGGTTCCAAGAAGTGCCGAAAGTTCACGAAACAATGCGGACTCAAACTGTCTGCCTCTATCGGTAGTCACAGATGACGGTACCCCAAAGCGGGCTATCCAGCCAGCCACAAAAGTCTTCGCTATCGTTTGAACAGTGATGTCTGGCATGGGTATCGCTTCCGGCCAGCGGATGAATCTGTCAATACATGTCAATACATATTTGTGACAGTCAGATGGTGGAAGAGGGCCTACAATGTCCAAATGAACGTAAAAAAAACGAGAGTCGGTAATGAAAAGGTCATTGTGGGTGCCGATGTGTGCCGATGGACTTTTGCCCTTTGACAGCTAAGGCAAGTTCGTGCCCAGTTTCGGACGTCCTTATCGATCCCTGGCCACACAAACCGGTGCGTTAGGAGGTGTTGTGTTGCTCGAATTCCCGGGTGTGCCAGTGAGTAGAGAGACTCGAACGCTTGACGGCGAAACGCCTTGGGTACGAAGGGCTGCGGTACAGGTGATGAGCAGTCACAAATAATAGGAGTGTCACACAATGGAAGGGAAATATATTTAAATTCAAGTCATGAATGTGACTGTTCCCTGTCGTCTTTCTGAGCTATCGCAATAGCTTGAAAATCGATAGCTGTTGGTATGATCGAGGAGCAGGAAGATGTCGTGATGCGTGACAGCGTGTCAGCAGGAGCATTGTGTGTGACTTTTACCTGGCGAATGTTCGTCGTGAACTCGGAGATATACGTCATCTGGCGTATCTCGCGGGTTGTGAATTTGTCACTGGCAGACTTGAGGGCACTGGTGAGTGGCTTGTGGTCGGTAAGGACGTAGAAATCTCGACCGTCCGAGAAATGCCGAAAGTGTATGATAGCTTGGTGGATTGCGAGAAGCTCGCGGCCAAACATGGTATACCGACTTTCTGTTGGTGTGAGTTGCCTTGAAAAGAAAGAAATTGGTTTCCATTCATTGTGAAAGTTTTTGTTGCAGAACTGCGCCTATCGCGATGTCAGATATGCGTCTAGCATGATGTTGATGGGTGCTTTGTTCTGTAGCTGGGTGAGAAGAGCCGCGTTGGCCAGATCATGTTTAATGCAAGAGAATGCATGGGAGGCTGTTTCGGACCACGTAAGTAGTGTGGAGTCACGCTTGGCACCTTTCAGAAAGTCTGTAAGAGGCAGCAAGGTTGAGGCTGACGAAATTAATCCCTGGATCGTCATTCTTGTCCAGCTCGCTTGCACCTTTGCATTTAATTGCATTATAAAAAAAGGTTGAGGCGCAATTCGGGATGAAGCGGCGATAGAAGTTGATCCATCCCAAGAACTCCCGAAGTTGCCGAACTGCTGAGGGGCGTGGAAAGTTTCGAACAGCTTCTACTTTTTCAGAAAGAGGCCGAACTCCGCGTTGATCCACTTGGTGACCGAGCAAAGTTACTTCGGTTACGTCAGACTCGCATTTAGCGTTGTTGACGATCAAGCCGTATTCCTCTAGGCGTTCAAAGAGAAGTCGAAGTTGTTCAAGGTGTTGCTCTTCACTGGAGCTAGAAACGAGCAGGTCGTCTACTGAGGCGTAACAGAACGCAAGTCCTTGGATGACAGGGTTGTCTGCGCTGCGTTCCGGAGGCCGAACGGCATGCGCAGATATCCATACAAACCAAACGGCGTAATAATTGCAGTCTTTGGAATGTCGGACGGTTCGACAGGTATTTGTTGATAGGCTTTCACCAAGTCTATCTTTAAGAATATTGTGGCGCCATGCAGGCAGCTTCTGAAGTCAGCTATGTACGGTAACGGGTAGCGGTCGGGGACTGTGGCGTTGTTGAGTGGCCGGTAATCGCCACAGGGTATCCAATCTCCAGGCTCTTTTCTCGGCACTATATGTAGGGATGATGCCCAGGGACTTGAGGACGGGTGGGTGATTCCCATCTTGAGCATGTGTTCAAACTCCTGGCGGGCTACTTTCAGACGATCTGGTACCAGTCGTCGTGCACGCGCATGGGTGGGTGGTCCAGTTGTCACAATGTGGTGGGTAATAATGTGTTTAACATGGCGTTGGAAATTGCTTGGGAACGTTAAGCTTGGAAACAATTGAAGTAGCTTTTGGTAGGGAGACTGAGGGGTCAAGCATCCCACACAGTCAATGATGGGAGTGGTGCATGCGATTCCCTGCACTACCAGATTTGTTGTAGCATCTATGAGCCGTTTGCCCTGCATATCAGCCATCAGGTCGTAGTGACGAAGAAAATCGGCGCCGAAAATTGGATACGACACGTCCGCAACTAAAAATATCCATCGGAGAACGCTTCTTAGCCCGATGTTAAAAGTCATGGTTTGTTCGCCGTAAGTGGCGAAGGGCGTCTTATTTGCGGCTTGTAGCATAAAAGGCGTTTGCT